CTGAAATGATCGTATGCCTTTCCACTCCTAATGATACAATGCCTCAGTGAATCATGTAAAGGCTTTTACACAGAAGCAGAGAGACATATACGCTATTATTCAGAGAATAATGTACTGACTGTACCCTCATTCTGTAATAAGTTTTCAGGCCCTGAAGTCTACCTGTCCCATGGGGCTACCGAAGCATCCTGAATGCACATGGCCAAGGACTGCTCGTAATTCTTCCATTGCAGCGTGCTGGAACACTGAGTTTATTGTAGACTGAATTGACTGCTCTAAATTAAGGGTCAGACAAGAAGCTTGACAAAATGAAATGAATTCTTCGCCGATTTTTCTTCTGATGCTTAGGGAATAGCTCTGTGAGGAGAGACACAGGTGCAGAATGAAAGCATAAATACCTAAGAAGGGCTCTCTGAAGCAGTGCTGTCATTCTGCCCAGGGAAAAAGCCTATGAGAAGACAAAGTTCAAATTTTGGTGATAATTCAGTGAATGGAAAATTAGGGCCTGGAGACCTCAGTCAGTTGGGTAGCAGGATCAGGGATACACCCACGGAAGATAAAGCTATGCTCTAACAGATGGTGAACACAGGTCTTCTTGCAACCTTCCTTATGGATTGGATTCCTTCATATTCCTTCCTCTACAGAATTGTTCTGGAGTTTTGCCTGTCTGAAGGACAAAAGCAAAGCTCACGCTCAGCACTACAGAGAGACATCACCTTTACAGTTTGTTGTACAGATTTTTTTAATACTAAATGCCATATAGAAGTAGTCAATGAAAAAATACTAAATATGTATTCATTCCTGCCTTTTATTTATAACTCCTTTTTCACCCTCTGTACTTCCCCCCTGCTCCACACAGAATTTTTGTCTAACTCCAACTGCATCTCTCTTTTTATCCCACTGTTATACTTGATTCCAGGTGTAACACTGTTAACAGTTTAACAGCAAAGCTGCGTTCTAGCTCTCTGCTGTCCCAAATAGGTTTTTATAGGATTGAAAATCACACGGTGCATGTTCAAAAAGAGCCTGAAAAAAATCAACCTATTCCTTTTAAAATAAGAGCAATTTTGCTTGCCTTACAGAGCTTAGAGAGGTAACTTGTTCAGCGCTTAAAGGAAACATCAAAACCTACAAAATATTCCCCTCAGACTCTCTATTTTCGGAAAAGTACATAGCCTCAGTTATTGCTATTCAAAATTCATGAAGCATTCAGAATACTAGCTTTCCAAGCAGAATTAGCTAGTATTCCCAATGCTTTAAATAGCATTAAGTAGAGCTGCGTAGAAAACAAATACAGTACAACTGAAGTCCAACCAAAAAAAAGCAAAAGAAAAAAATAACAAGCAAAATGCTTGGTTCTGGAAGGTCTAAGTCAGGGTGGCAATTGCACAGTAAATACCTTGCCTCCTCCGCTTCCCAATTGCATTACAGCTTTTAGCTCACATTTCCCTGTTAAGTGTAACATCTCTCAGGCAGGCAAAATATTCCAGGGAAAAAGCAACACTGTCCAGCAAAACCGAACCTGAACTGGAAGCCAGCGCAGACCAATTAAGTAAAAGTGCCATCTGCTTCCTGCAAGAAGTGCTAGTGAATAGCTAGACAAATAAATTCTTCAGTGATAGTTACACAAAACCTTAATCGGGGGATGCTGCTGCAGTCCACGATCCTCTGGAGGTAACAGAGATTTTGTAAGAAATCAACTTCTACAGCGAAAAGATTCACTCTCCATGCTGGAAATAAACAAATGCTGATGTCCAGCATCAGCACTTTAACTCATGCTGATGTCCAGTCTCTGCAAAACACAACAAGAGGATCCTTGGAATTGGCTCAGAGGGCAGTATGGACCCAGGTAGCTTCCTGTCTCTTCTCACAGACACGGAGGAGAAGGAAAGACAGAATACCACTTTCTAACACTCCCATGAGAGGTCCCTCCCAGAGGAAGATAGAGAATTGCCTTAGTCTTTCCCCCTAAAAATATGAGAGGAGCTATCCTAGCGATCCTTCTGCCTGTTCCCGCTAACACCCTACCTCCGCTATGGTCCCTCACTGCTCATCGAGGTCAGAAGAAACTCGGCAGAGCCAAGAGACACAGGCAGCCAGGCCACAGATGACTTTGCTGGGGACCCCAGATGAAGGAAACAGTGCGGTCTCCTACATGCCCGGGGCAGTCTGCCTTCAGGCAGGGAAGGGAGCACAAGAAGCTCCCTCGAAGCTTCTGAATGTGCCCCAAAAGGCAACGTTCCTGCTCGATTCCCAAGTCAGTGAGAGCATGCTGTACCACCTGAAAAAAATCTCTATCCCGCCGGACTTGCACTAGGACAGACGGAGAGAAATATGTCTGCACAAAAACCTGTCCGTCCAGAACTCTCCAGGGTCAAGACCATGCTACAACTAATCTCATAGAGCCTTGGGCTTCATCTGCCGTTAAGGAGAGAATGGTGATCACCAACAGCAGAGCTGTCCCTATCATAAGCAGATTTTTAAAGGGCTCATGAAATCTCAGGAGGACAAAGGTCACCATACTCCCAATTAGTGTCTTACTGATAATGTTTATGTCTAAACCTAACATTACTTAATATAAATCTAATTTAATATTAATCATTAAAATCAGTACTATCAAGACCTAGGTTTCCGTGGGCATCTCATTTTCCATTCCATTTTCAGGCTTTATCTCTGACTTGAAGTGAAGCCAGAAATCATCTAAAAAATCACTCCTCCTTAGCTTGTCCCATGTTCACCTTGTGCTTGAAAGACTCTGCAAATCCTCCTACAGGAGTAAAATTCTCACTGATTTTATGGAAAGTTTTCTCTAAGTTCTGACACTAGGATTCAGCCCACACTGGATTGTAAGACATTTGTTCTTAACTTCCACTCTCAATGAAGTCTGAGTGGTTTCTTTTGCCACCAGTTAGGCTACACTTACAGGAAAAATAAATAGTTTACAAAGAAAAATCAAAATTAAATTCCTCTCAATTCCATGACACACATTCCATATAGTTAGAGCAAGGTCAGATACAGACTGTAGCCTCAGCAGGGGTTGCTGTAAGAACTAAGACAGATGTTCAAGGCTGTCTCCGGCTATGAATAAAGACTTT